TTCTGTCATGTTACTTGCATGGATCAAGAGTCTCTGGGGCATCTGGTTGGCATTGCCCTAATTACACATAAACCATAAATGTATAAGTTAGTAGCATTTTTTTATTGAACTTGACTATAGAGGCACAACATTAAGTCAGTATGCAAAAAGATATCTTAATCCTGCACTATGCTCACCAAGCATGTATGAAGCTGCTAGTTGAAAAGGCTATGACTATCAAGTGATTATTAGCAACATAGACACTGAATTTATTTAGCTATTCCTACTACATAGAGAATGTTGGTATAAATTATTAATTACTAAGGCTTGTCTCTTAGATAGATATATTTATACATAAAACATTCACATCATGACCATGTTATTAAAGTTTTCTTATCTGATCATTTTTATTTCATGTTTGAGTAAGGTTAAGAAAAATTCTTATGGTCTTTATACCAAACCAAAAGCTATTGTTTAAACATTATATATGTTTTAAAGGAGCCGATTTATTTTCAGAATATACAGGCCCTTCTTAGTCAGAAAAAAATATAATTTACGTTAAGGGTAATTAGTTCCTTTAAAACAATTTTTTTTTTTTTACGTGCCCCTAGTGGCAACCGAACCTGGGACTCTCTGGTCCTCAGGCTGAGACTCCAACCACTGAGCCAAACCAGCCATAGCTAAGAAAAAGTTTTAAAAGGCCTCTAATATACATTGCATTTTTTTAAAAATTTTCTTAGAAAATTGTGCTTTCCTCATGAGGGCTTTATAGCACCAAATGTTCAAAAGACCTATAATAATCATAACAATTAATTTTTATACCTATTATCTCATTTTTCCTGAGTAAATTTTGATGATGTTGAATATCCTGTCTTCTTTTCCTTCACAAACATCCATAGCTACAACACAACATAGAGTAGATATTTAATAAGCTGATATTCCTGAAAGATGCTGGGACTCCTCATTTCCTGAAAATTTAATATTGGAATGTTCCAGAACTTAGTCTTTTGATCACCTTTCTATGTAAAATCATTTCCCTTGGGGTCTAATAAATTCTCTTGAAACTATGTGGCCCTATTGACTATTAGTTTCTTATTCTTGCCATAAGTTCTCCAGTCTTCAGTAATATTTGCTTTACTAAAGATTCTCTTTCCTATCTGTTTGCCACTTCTTCATTTATTTTATAGATTTCTCTTCTTTGACTCCTTTGTAAGGAATAGTCCTATGTCTCTTGTCATTGTTTTTGTCCTCTCCTTAGAATGTTATCTTCACTAGCATGGCTTCTTCAGTTGTCCTCTATATGCTGAAGAATCTCAATTCCTTACTGATGGGTCACCATTTTATCCCAGACTATTATAAGAAACTCTGAAGTGATTTACCTAAATTCACTTTTGATCTGATGCAAACAATTCAGCTCCTGTTTTGAAATCAATTTTTAAAAAATAAATTCTGAGCACATCGTCCATTCTTAAAATCCTTAAATGGGTTCTTATGGATCCTACATAAAAATCTAAATTCCTTAAATAGCCACTGGAAAGTTCACTACCTTATGCCCTCATTCAATCTCTCTTAAAACATTGGTCATGTTCATTTGCTTAGTTCCTTGAATAGTGAATACACCCTATGACCTCTGGACATTTATACATGCTGTTCCCTCTGGTGGAGCCACACAATTTCACTTCTCCATGGCATCTTGTAGATTTCAGTGTCGGTGTCAATTTAAGGAAAATATTTACCCGACCAAAACTTTACATACACCATATCACCTTAATTTTATTTATTGTTTAAACATCCATCATTTTTCCTTCAACAGTCCTTGAAGTCAAAATTGTATTATCAGGACCTACCATAAATCAATTACATATAGTAAATAATATCTTACAGAGACAAAAGAAAATGCCTCCACATATTAGAATTTAATACTACTGGGAAAGATAGACAAAGCAGATATTTATAAAGATTATAAATAAGGAATGAAGTTCTTGAGAACAAGACTAAAAAATGTATTTGAAGTCTAGGTGGAGGACTACATTTTGATACAGGTCCCATCTCAGGGCCTCTATGATCTCAATGAAGTATGAGGCAAGTAAGGGGAACATAAGAGTCTTAAGAAGTTAGAAGAGAAAACAATGTAATTAATAGTTATCATTATAAAAGAAATAAATAACCACTCTAGAGAAACATAATTGGGATTTGGACTTAATAGGCAATGTTGAGAGCACATCTGAAGTTATTGATCTTAAACTCAAAGTGAAAACTTTAGATTTGGTTGTGTGATCATTCTTCAGCAGTGATTTAGCAGTTTAGGTGAAAGCAATGAATAAGTAGATCACTGAATTTGTCCAGAATACATTTTGAAAATACAGTGTGATTAATTCTCTATCTACAGGTAAATGAAGACTAAGTATTTCAGATTGCAGGGATCAAAGATGTCTTCCAAAATTTCTTTGCAGAGACTTTTGGTAAAGAAGGGTTTGAAGAAAAAGTACAATGGGGCATTTCTGACCAAGGAATGCAAATGTGCACAAATCCAGGCACCTGAAAGATTATGGTATGTTCAGAGTGGAAAATGATGATGGAGTGAATATAAGCTACAAAAACTGTCTCCCAGGACCAAACTGGAATTACAACTAGAATAAAGACAAATCATAGGGGAAAAAATAACTGAAAAGCAGCTGGAGAGAACCTGTACAACCAGGAACAGAAAGAGGATGCCAAATTGAGCCTGGTAGGAACTGCAGAGGTGTGTGAGGGTAGGCTGGAAGCCCATGGACAGCAGCAGAAAGCTATATTAGCTGAGTGCCCTTCCTGTTGAGAAAGTGGGGGTGGTGTGAAAAGCACCAAATCAGCTACAGCCACTCACCTTGGGCTCTGGCAGAGGGAGGGTGAACTGGATTGGAACTGTGTGGAGAGAATTCGGGGCTCCTGGCTGAGGAGAGAAAGTTTTGTGCTGAGTCACACCCTCATAGGATAGTAGCCATATTACTCAAAGAGCCCCTTACCAGAGCCCTGGGGAGAAGCAACAGCCACTCCTGCAGGAATTCAACACCACCAGGCCAGGCCAGAGAAATGCAAACTGAGGTTCATTAGCATCAAGTCTGATAACAAGGTAGTGCCCCATACACTGGAAATCCTCTTACACTTAAGGGATTTTTCACTCAGTAGAGGGCTACAAATAAAGGCTCATCAAGTAACTGAGACTAATAGCCTCCAGGCAAAAAGCTAAAGGATAACTGAACCTTTCCTGGGCTTGCAAATCTACCCAGGAAAGGAAGACTTCACAGTGGTGTATAACATGGGTCCTCCCACACTCATCTAAACTCAGTAGAGGGAACCACAATAGCAGAACACCAACATCCACAGGGAAATTATGGGAGGCTCCAAAACCCACTGAGATAAACAAAATGGTGAAACAAAAAAACAAATCCCAAATGAAAGAACAAGATAATACTGCAAAAGTAATAAATAACATAGAATTATGCAAATATCACAGGAAGAGTTCAGAGTAATAATCATAAGAAAGCTCAACAGCCTGAGTAAAGATATAAAAACATTGAAAGTCAATCTATTGGAAATGAAGAATGACATAGCAGAAATAAAGAACACATTAGGAGTAATAACCAGAAGAGTACAGAAAACCAAGGACCAGATCAGTGAAGTAAAAAACAAGGTAGAAAAAGTCACCCAATCAGAGAACCAAAAAGAAAATCAATTAAAAAATAGGAAGACAGCCTAGGAGTGCCAGAAAAAAAAGAAGAGTTAGAGAATATGTTTGAAGAAATAGTGACAGAAAACTTTCCTAGCTTGGTGAAGGAAAAAGGCATACAAGTTCAAGAAGCACAGAGAACCCCAAGTAAGAAGAACCCAAAGAGGCCCACACCTAGACACATAATAGCTAAAATGCCAAAAATTAAAGACTAAGAGAGAATCTTAAAGGCAGCAAGAGATAAACAACGTTACCAACAGGAACCCCCTAAAGGCTATCAGCTGACTTCTCAACAGAAACTCTACAGGTCAGAAGAGAATGACATAAGGTAATCAAGGTCATGAAATACAAAGATCTGAATCCAAGACTCTTTATCCAGGAAGGCTATCATTCAAAATAAAAGGTGAAATAAAGAGCTTCCAAGACAAAGAATGAATAAATAAAAAAGGCTAAGGGAATATATTAGCACCAAACTAGTAGTCCAAGAAATGTTAAAAGGACTGCTGTAATAAGCAGAAGAAATAGGAAGAGAAATATAACCATAATGAACAAAAATGGCAATAAGTAAGTACATATTAATAATCACCTTAAATGTAAATGGATTGAATGCTCCGATAAAAAGACACAGAGTACTGATTGGATAAGAAAGCATGACTCATCTATATGTTGTTTACAAGAGACACACCTCACAACAAAAGACTCACATAGGTTGAAAGTGAAGGGATAGAAAAAATCTTCCAAGCAAACGGAAAGAAAAAAAAGCTGGGGTAGCAATACTCATATCGAATAAAATAGATTTCAAAATGAAGGCCATAACTAGAAACAAAGAAGGCTACTACATAATATTGAAAGGATCTATCCAACAGTAAGATATAACCTTGGTAAACATATATGCACCCAATATAGGAGCACCAACATATGTTAAAAATCTTCTGGAGAACTTCAAAGGCAAAATCAACAGCACTACAATCGTAGCAGGGGACTTCAACACCTGACTGACATTACGGATAGATCTTCTAGACAAAAAATTAACAAGGAAACAGAGACTCTAAATGGTGCACTAAATCAAAAGGATTTAATAGATGTCTACAGAGAATTACACCCCAAAACTGTAGAATTCACATTCTTCTCAAGTGCAGATGGGACATTCTCAAAGGTAGACCAAACATTAGGACACAAACTAAATCTCTACAAGTTCAAGAAGATTGAAATCATATCGAGCATCTTCTCAGATCACAATGACATGAAACTACATATCAATTACAACAAAAACACAGAAGAACATGAAAATGCATATAGGGTAAATAGCATGCTATTAAATATGGAATACTTCACAAATTTGTGTGTCATCCTTGTGCATGGGGTCATGCTAATCTCTGTATCATTCTAATTTTAGTATATGTGATGGTGAAGCGAGCACTGTTTTGTTTTGTTTTTAAATATTTTTTCTTCATTGATTTTAGAGAGAGAGGAAAGAAGAGGGAGAGAGAGATAAAAGCATCAATGAGAGAGAACATCAATTAGCTACCTCCTGTATGCCCTCCACTGGGGATTGAGCCTACAACCTGAGCATGTGCCCTGACCGGGAATTGAACTGGAGACCTCTTGGTGCATGGGTCGACACTGAACCACTAAGCCACACCAGCTGGGCTACTCCAAAATTTTATATGTAACCAAAAATGACCCCAAATTAACCACAGCAATCTTTAAAAACAAGAACAATGTAGAAGGGAGCACAATACCAGATATCAGGTTATACTACAAAGCCATTGTAGTTAAAACAGCCTGGTACTGGCACAAGAGCAGGCATATAAATCAATGAAACAGAACAGAAAATCCAGAAATTGACCTAAGACATTATGCTCAGTTAATTTTTGACAGAGGTGGCAAGAGTATACAGTGGAGTAGACAGGCTCTTCAATAAATGGTGTTGGGAAAATTGGACAGCTACATGCAAAAAAATGAAGCTAGGCCACCAACTTACACCATACACTAGAATAAACTCAAAATAAATAAAAGACTGAAGTGTGACTGGTGAATCCATAAAAATCCTAGAAGAAAATGTAGGCAACAAAATTCCAGGCATCACACGCAGCAGAATTTTCACTGATACAACACCTAAGGAAAAAGAAACAAAGGAAAAAAGTAAGACATGGTACTACATCAAATTAAAAAGCTTCTGCACAGTAAAAGAAACAAATATCAAAATGGAATGGGAATCCACTCTATGGGAGAGCATAATTGCCAACGATACATCAGATAAGGGGTTAATTTTTCAAATATATCGAATACTCATGCAACTCAACAAAAGGAAGACAAAGAATCCAGTTAAAAAAATGGGCAGAGGGTCCAGCCCGTGTGGCTCAGTGATTGAGCCTTGACCCATGCACCAAGAGGTCCCTGGTTCAATTCCCTGTTAGGTCACATGCCCAGGTTGTAGGCCTGATCCTCAGTGAGGGGTATGCAGGAGGCAGCCAATTGATGTTCTCTCTCATCGATGTTTCTATCTCTCTCTCCCTCTCACTTCCTCTCTCTCTAAAATCAATAAAGAAAAAAAATTAAATTAAAAAAATGGGCAGAGGACCTAAATAGACACCTCTTCAAACAGGACATACAAATGGCCAAGAGACATGAAAAAATGCTCAACATCACTAAATCATGAGAGAGATGCAAATCAAAATGAATGTGAGGTATCACCTCACACCTGCCAGAGCGGCTCCCATCAACAAATCATCAAACAACAAGTGCTGGCCAGGGTGTGGAGAAAAGGGGACTCTAGTACACTGCTGGTGGGAATGCAGACTGGTGCAGTCACTATGGAAAACAATATGGTGTTACCTCAAAAAATTAAACATCGATCTTCCATTTAACCCAGTGATCCCACTTCTAGGAATATGTCCTAAGAAGCCTGAAACACCAATCAGAAAGAGTATATGTACCACTATGGCCATAGCAGCACTATTTTCAATTGCTAAGATCTGGAAACAGCCCAAGTGTCCATCAGTAAATGAGTGGAAAAAAAGCTGTGGTACATATACACAATGAAATACTATGCAGCTGTAAGAAAGAAAGATCTCTTATCCTTTGAGACGACATGGAGGGACCTGGAGAGTATTATGCTAAGCGAAATACGCCAATCAGAGAAGACAAATATCACATGATCTCATGTGATTGTGGAATATAATGAACAAAATAAGCTGATGAACAAAATAGACCTGGAAACATAGTAGTAGGGTACAGATTGACAAACCTCAGAAAAGGGGAGGGGGAAGGGAAGAGGTAAACCAAAGAACTTATATGCATGTATTTATAACCAATGGACATAGACAACAATGCTGGGGAGGGCGGTCGGGATCAGAAAGAAGCTGTCAATGGGGAAAAAGAAAAAACCTTTGTAATAGAAATAAATTAATTAAAAAATATTATGATGTGTTCAAGGATATGTAAGGAAGAAATCCAGGATGCTTGGAGCCCAGAGCATTCATCATAAAGTGGTAGAAAAATAAGAGTTCAGTGGTCATATCCTAAAGGACTTTTAAGAACATGTAAAAGAGATTGGATTGATGCTGAAAATATGAGATGCTATTAAATAATTTTAAACTGCCCAGCTGGTGTGGCTCAGTGGATTGAGCATTGCCCCATGGACTGAGAGGTCCTGGTTTGATACCCGGTCAGGACACATGACCCGGTTGCAGGTTTGATCCCTGGTGCGGGTGTGCAGAAGGCAGCAGATCAATGTTTTTCTCTCACATCAATCTATCTCTTTCACACTGATGTTTCTCTCTCTCTCAAAAAAAAAAATTAATAAAAACATATTTAAAAAGAATTTTAAACAAAAGAGGCACCCTTAGACTTATTCTCACGATTTGACTTTACTTTGTAAAATTAATATTTAAAATAATATATACCCTTTTATTTTTCTGCCACTTTTTGTCTACTTTTCCATGCAAAACCATCCTATTGTCATCAACTACTCTCCTTTCCAAATTCATTAAAATAATTTAACAACACAGCTGTTTATGGACATCCTAATCTGTGAAATTTTTCACTCCCCTTTTCATTTTTTTCATGAATTCAATATTTATCACCTGTGAAAAACTGAACACTGTTAGTCACAGGACCTGTGATAGGTGTAAGTCATGTGTTAAGACACAGAGCACATGGAATGCTGTGTGAGGTGGCAAGCAGATCAGCAGCCATTTGTTGCCATGTGTCCAACTTTCCACTTTTTAACCTAGGTAAAATACCAAAGCTTGGACATGTCTGAAATTTATGGTTGTGTTGTTTTTTTTGTGTGTGTGTGTGTTTTTTTAAATTTTCTTAGCATTTAAAAGTAAGCAAAATGAAATAAAATAAATTATGAAACAAAGAAGGGGAGGTAGATGTTTGAGACTAGAAATATAAAGTTATCTGCATGGCTATGCCACTGTGGAGGTATGAGTTCCAAAAGACTTATTGACTGTACAACTTAAGAAACAAATCCAAGTTTACAAGCAATATATGCATCACAGAAGTTAGGATTTTTCAAACACTGTCCAGTGGTGCTACGATCTAAATGTGTTCCTTTGAAATTCCTATGTTGAAATTCTAACACCCAAAGGTGTCAGTATTAGTCTTTGGGGAGTGATTAGGTCATGACAGTGGAGCCCTCATGAATGTGATTAGTGCTGTTATATTAAAAAAAAAAAAAAAAAAAATTCCACAGTGATCTCTAGGCCTTTCCACCAAATGAGGATACGACAAAACATCAGCAACCAGGAAGAGGGCACTTTCCTGAACATGCTAGCACCTGGCGCTTGGACCTCTACCCTCCAGAACTGTGAGAAACAGCTTTCTTTCCTTTGTAAGCTACCTAGTCTTTAGTATTTTGTCAGAGCAGCCCAGATGAACTAAGACAAATAAGCATTGTTACATTCTAAAATAATTTCACTTTTCTGTAAGAATTTAAACCATTTTACTATGTCATATTTTCTTGAGAAAAATCATTGTTAGGCTAAGTAAATTTACAAAGCTAATCAGATAGCTCTATAATGTGTAATATACAGTAATGATATTAATAATTATGCTGTTAAAAGAGTGCTTAATATGAGCTAAGCACTGATTTATCTGACTTTTAATAAATTAACTCATTTAATCTTCAAATTTTATAAAATAGGTATTATTAATTACATTTAGCAAGGGCAAGAAAGTCTGATATTAATGAATTACAACCCAAGTTCCTAAAAACTCTGCTCTACTTCCCCTGGTATGAAACTCAAATTGTTTGATAGCTGTGGACTATTAGATAAAGCTGGGTGTCCCCTTCTATTATCACAATATTCTGCTAAGCTCTCTTACCATCCTACATTGCACCTCAGACAAATCTTCAAGTATAAGGCAGGTATAGTTCTTAAAAACATTCAGTTATTTATTCATTCACTCGATGGATATAAATTTAGCATTTACTATTTTCAAGGTGCTGTTCTGTTCTAGGTGCTGGGCAAAAGATCATATGAAATGGGGATATCTCCTTTGAATGAAGTAAGGATAATTTTCTAGCAAAAGTATGATTGTTATCCATGTGAAATATAAAATTAAAACAACTGCATATAATCAGAGGGAAAAGCTTTAACTAGAAATGGTTATAATAATACCATTGTAATTAACCCTAGATATGAATAATGGGAAAAGAGCAAAGGGAAGGCCAAATATTATGGGCTTGTCATTTGTGCAGCTTTGCCAGGAAGCTGCAGTTTAGATGCATGCCCCTTAAAATCTGGATGAAATAGGGAAGATGCTTACCTATCTGTCACATCTGAGAACAGGTCATTGGCCAGAGTCGGTGTGATCACTGCAAGAGTGGGAAGATTTGAGACATTCGATAACCTAAGCAAAGGACTTTGCTCTCTTGCTCTCTTGGTTCACTCCTGGCTTGTGGGGCTCTCAGACTCTTGTATTTGCCCATGTGGCTCACTGCCATTTGGACCCCACATAATGGACTAATGGACTACAACTAGCCTATTGCTAAACTGGACCCACCTCCACCATGTAATGTTAACTCTGGACACTGGCTTTGCTTCTAGCTCTGCTGAATCCCCAGCTTCACATCTCCCAGGACTGGATTAAGGAAAATGGGACTTTGGAAACACAGGGATGTAATTTCATGAGAATAAAGCTTTCTGCCACATCTCATCCGCCTATGGGGGCCTCTGGAAATGCTTATTCTAGTGGTACACCAAGGACCCCACTCGCAAAAGCAACAGAGAAAAACCATCCACACATTTCTCCAAAAACAATATGTTCTGCAATTTTCTTGTTAGTATTTGTCACTTATTTATTCATTTACTCATTTGTTAGATATTATTAACAATAAAACACTAATATGTGGAATTGTTTTAATAGTAAAATATGCACAAAATATAATTGAAAATTATTATACTT